AATAGCAAAGGTTAAAAAAAAAGACTTTGCCATCACATGGCAACAAGTCAAGAAAATTATAAAGAAATGTCTTACTTGTGCTTTATATAACCAAACACAGCAGGAAATAGCCCAAAGGGTACTCAGAGGAATGAAATCTTGCAGATGGATGTGTTCCATTTTGTAGGATTTGGAAAACTTAGACATGCACACCACACCATTGACACCTATTCAGATTTTCAATAGTAAACGGCACTGAATTTGAAATGGCTTATTCGATAATCACCAATTTAGAAGTTATGGCCATCATGGGTATACCTGCACAAATAGACAGAAAAGGCTCCAGCATGTGTCTCTAAGAAAATAAAACAGATTTTTACTTATAATATAAAGCATATTACAGGTATACCACACAATGCTACAGGCCAGGCAGTTACATAAAGATGAAATCAAACTCTAAAGGATATGTTAAATAAACAGAAAGATGATAAATACCCCCCAGAAATGGATTGTATAATCTACATGCTAATGAGAAAGGAACAACAGCTATGGAGAGACATTATATAGTAGACAAAACTACAAAATTAAACCAGCCAGTATACTTTAAAGATGTACTGACCTCAGAATGGAAACTAAGACATGTGTAATGTTGGGGAACAGGTTTTGCTTTTGTTTCCGCAGGAGAAGAAAAGCTATGGATACCATCAAAATTAACAAAAATTTTATCTGAACAAGAGACACCTCTTAATTAGAAGAGATGATAGTTCAAACAGCATGGCTGTTAAATCTAAACTAACTCTATAATACTAACAAATCAGATATAACTTGCCAAAGGAGAATCTCCCCACAATTAGGGTTGGGAAAGTGTTTTGTTTCTGTCTTTTCAGGAGGATAAAGGTATCCAACTAAGAAATCTGAAACCTGGACAAATGAGACATCTAAAGAAAAAGGACAAATTATCCATAACAAAGGTCTCAAGAAAAAGAGTAAATCACATTTCCAACAAGTTAAAATTTCAGAAATCTTTCCAAATGTTTGTTTCTGTTGTTCTCTACAGACATATAATGCAAATGGTCTTTAAGTAGTCCCAATCCAACTAAAGATTAAGGCTGGCTTTGGAGTTGGAGTGTGGCTCTCTCCTTCTCTAAACTCCTTCTCTAAACTCTTATTAAAGTGAAATCCAAAATCTGTCTCATGTCTGAAGAGCCACATGATATAGGACAAAAGAAAAAACAAAAATATTGTTACTAATCTCATAACCCTTTGGTTTTATACTGACTCTTTAAGGTATAAGATTCATATCTATCTATATCTATCTATCTATATATATCTTTTTGTCATGATATCAATGGTTATATAGAGTACTAATTCTAGAAACAGGTTTCATGTACCTTCCTGTACATGATTTTGGGTTTGATCCTCTATTAGTTTTCTGCAGTAAACCATGAGCATGCCTAACAGCGAACTTTGAAGTCTCCATAAAGAGGATGGGGTCCCACAACAACGATTTATCCAGGACTATGATAATACCACTAAGCTGAAAAACAACACCAACTAAATATCGGCTTTGGACTACAAACTGCTCAGAACAATTTTGAGGTGGCTAGCTGAGATGATCCAGCCTAATAGACTACTACTCTAGCAGGGACTTGAGAGAAGCCCTGCACAGAGAGAAGCCTCTTACACAGATACTGGACAACAAATGATGCAGCTACTTCTCCCAGGACTTGACAATTAACTCAAAATTTTCTTTTCAGTGTGCCCTCAAGATATTGTTGCCCACAGACAGCAGGAAGTAAATTTAAGAATATGACAACCACATTCCCCAAGAGGTGGGGTGGGTGGTTTTGGTAGTTCAATGGGTTTATGGATATTTGTCATTTTTTAGGGGATTAGTTACAAGTTATTGGTAATGGTCAGGAAAAAAGCTAAACAAAGGAAATTAGATTCAAGGTTCTTGTTTTGAAAAATATGGAGGGGATATAGCTATGACAGGATAAAAGGGAAGATTATTGAATCTACTCTGAAAAGAAAAAAGGGAGGACATAGATATCATAAGATCAAAAGGTAAATTATTGAATCTACCTTTAAAAAGTAACTACTATATGGGGTACTGAACTGAACAGAGAATTCTCAACAGAAGAATTTCAAATGGCCAAAAGATACTTAAGGACATGTTCAACTTCCTTAGCTATCAGGGAAATGCAAATCAAAACAACTTTGAGATACCATCTTATACTTGTCAGAATGGCTAAAATCAAAAACACCAATGATAGCCTATGCTGGAGAGGATGTGGAGTACGGGGAAAACTCATCCATTGCTGGTGGGAATGCAAACCCGTGCAACCACTTTGGAAATTAGTGTGGCAGTTTCTCAGAAAATTGGGAGTCAACCTACCTCAGGATCCAGCAATACAATTCTTGGGAATATACCCAAGAAATGCCCAATCATGCTATAAGGACATTTGTTCAACTATGTTCATAGGAGCATTATTTGTAATAGCCAGAACCTGGAAACGACCTTAGATGCCCCTCAATGGAAGAATGGATAAAGAAAATGTGGAATATATACACATTGGAGTACTACTCAGTGGTAAAAACAATGACATCTTCAATTTTGCATGCAAATGGATGGAAGTAGAAAACACTACCCTGAGTGGGATAACCCAGACTCAAAAATATGAATATGGTATGTACTCACTCATTAGTGGATTCTAGTATGTACTCACTCATTAGTGGATTCTAGCCATAAACAAAGGACACTGAGCCTACAGTTCATGATCCTAGAGAAGCCAAGTAATAAGGTGAATCCAAAGAAAAACATATAGATTCTCCTGGAAATTGGAAGCAGACAAGATTGCTAGGCAAAAGTTGGGAGAATGGGGATGGGGGTGTGGAGGGAAAGAGAGAGGGAGAGAAAGAGGCTTGGGGAGACCTTGGGGAAACGGGATGGTTGAGATGGAGGAAGGACAGATATGGGAGCAGGGAAGGATATCTTGAGGGAGCCATTTTGAAGTTGGTAAGAGGCTTGGCTCTAGAGGAGTTCCCAGGTGTTCAAGGGGATGTCCCCAGCTATGTCCCTGGGCAGTGGAAGAGAGGGTGCCTGAACTGGCCTTGTCCCATAGTCAGATTGATGACTATCTTGCATATCACCATAGACCCTTCATCTGGCGACGGATGGAGATAGAAACAGAGGCCCACATCGAAGCACTGGAATGAGTTCCCAAGGTCCAGTTAAGAGTGGAAGGAGGGAGAATGAGCAAAGAAGTCAGGACCACAAGGGGTTGATCCACCCACTGAGACAGTGGGCCTGAGCTAATGGGAGCTCACCAATGCCAGCTGGACTGGGACTAAACGAGCATTGGATCAAACTGGGCTCTATGAATGTGGTTGACAATTGGGGCAGAGTGAGAAGACAATGATAATGGCACTGGGATTTGTCTCTACTGCATGTACTGGCATTTGGGGATCCTATTCTCTTTGGATGCATACCTTCCTAAGCCTGGATGTAGGGGGGAGGGCCTTGAACTTCCCAGAGGGCAGGGTATCTCTCTTAGGACTGGAGGGGGTGGGGGTAGGGTATGTGGGGGAGCGGGAGGGAAGTAGAAATTTTGATTGGTATTATTTATAAAGTAATAAAAAATGAGCTAGCTGTGAATATGCCTGAGCCATTGGCCAAACAGTATTGGAAAAAAAAAAAAACTACTAGTTTTAAATTTTTTGTTTGCTGGGTTCTCTCTCTCTCTCTCTCTCTCTCTCTCTCTCTCTCTCTCTGTTTTTTTCAAGACAGGGTTTCTATGTATCTTTTGGAGCCTGTTCTGGAACTCACTTTGTAGACCAGGCTGGTCTCAAACCCATGGAAATCCTGTCTCTGCCTCCTGCGTGCTGGGATTAAAGGTGTGCACTACTAGTGCCCAGCTAGTTTTAAATGTTTTACATTGAATTAGACTATTGTATACTGTATACAAATTTTGTATATTGATACAAATTTAAGATTAATTTTGTTAGAACATACTGTACATACATTTTTCCTCTTGCTCAAGGTACTGTACCTATATAACTCATTTAATCATGTAAAATGCAAATTTCTAGCCCTTGAAAATTATCAACTGTTTAACTACTAACCTACATTTCCTTATTATTCTAATCACCTATTATAATTGAACTTATAGTCACATTAGGTATGCTTGCAAAGTCAAGCAAAGATGTATTTTAGACAGGTCACCTTCAAACACTTCAGAGACATACAGAATATGGCACTTAAGATATTTTAATAATATAGGTTCTTTAATGAGACATGTCTGCTCCTAGCAGCACCAATCTACTTCAGTGAAGAAAATGGATATCAAAGAAATTCCACATGAAGTTTACTTTCTCTGAGGCAAAAATAAGTCACTGGGAAAGAAAATGCCTTTGCCTCAACTGCTGACAGTATCCTGCCCTAATTGGGCATGCAGGACACAAAAGAAAGCGACTGCCAAATACTGTCAAGACAAGAAAGGACAGCCCTTCAGAATATCTTCACAGAATAGTATGTCAGATAAGCTAGGCCTGTAGGCCAAAGATGGATGCCCCAATATTGCAGCAGAACTTTGGGTGAGTGTCCAGGCAGCCAGCTGTTTCTGTCATTTCTCACATTTTTGGGAAGTTGCTTACATGTACTTCCTGCTTACTCAGTTAATATTATTTCCTTCTTGAGTCTCTGAGAGAGCTGAAGATTAGATAGTTTTTCTTGTTTACCAGAAACAGAAAGTAAGTTATGAAAATAAGTTATAGTAGAAAGTAAATTAGGTATAAACTTTGGACTTACCAAGTATGAAAGATAATGGAGTATTTTCTCTGAATTTGTCAAATGAAAATGGACTAGACATTGTTGATATATTTAATGGCTGTATATATTGTATACAGTTATTGTACTTATTGTATGTAGTTTTTTTTCTTATATTAGTTATAGCCTTTTTTATTTTAGACAAAGGGAAATACAGTGGTATATTATTTGTGTTTTAATAAATAAATCTTACCTGAAGATCAGTGCAAAGCAGCCAGACTAGTCAGCCATACAGGCCAGGCAGTAGTGGCACACACCTTTAATCCCAGCAGCACACTAGTTAGTCATAGAGGCCGGGCGATGGTGGTGTATGCCTTTAATCCCAGTACTAGAGAGGAATATAAGGCAGGATGAGACAGGAATTTGCTCTCTTTCAATCTGAAGTCTTCACAGAGGTAAGAGCTCTCTAGTGGCTTGGCTGCTTTGCTTCTCTGATCAGGGCGCCACTGTGGATTGCTTTGGGTGGGCTACTCAGTCTAGGGGTTGTAACCCACCCCGCAATCAGGTTACTCCAGGGTCTCGGAGGGGTGCTACCTGGAAGGGAATGAGCTAAGACAGAAGAACGAGGCCAAGCAACTTTGTCAAGGCCTCAGTTTATTAGGGACGGGTTACAGTTTATATATGGTAAGGGATGAGGGGCAGGGTACGGGATCTCGCAGGCCGCGTGGTTCCGGTCACGTAGCTCGGTTACATTCAGACAGACAGGCCAGAAGTCACAAGTGGCCACACCTGGTTCCCTGGATAGCTGGAATGTGAGGCGGGTTCCGCTAAGATTAGCAGTTAATTGGGTGGGTTTTGTCAATAGAACATAACTATGGGTGTGAGGTTCTCTGCAGACTCCCTAGAGTGATGGTTTCTGTAATGATTGTTAGGGGGGAAATGGCTCCTGACATACACATGCAGGTGTGTGCACACACACACATACAAACATGTGTATATGTATGCACACACATAGTAAGTAAATAAATACCATGCCTTTGGGGCTGGAGAGATGGCTCAGCAGTTAAGAACATTGACTGCTCTTCCAGAGGTCCTGTGTTCAATTCCCAGCAACCACATGGTGGCTCACAACCACCTATAATGAGATCTGGTGCCCTCTTCTGGCCTACAGGCAGGGTACTGTATAAACAAATAAATAAATCTTTAAAAAAAAAAAAACAATATAACATGCCTTTAACCTCAAATGACCTTAATGGATATCTAGACTGTTACTAAATGGTTTACTGATCTATTAATTATGACAAGGTTCAGGGAACATGAGCTCAAATATGACACTTGGGTATTCAATAATAAAACAGCAATAGTAAAAAGACTACTCTGATTTCTGGCTCTTGTCCCCTGAAGCTAAAAGAACTGCCTATCCTTCTTTTGAAATAAGATGTAAGGCCGTCATATGTCCTACATGCAGAAAACAGAGATGCCACAGAGCAGCAGAGACAACAAACTAAACAAGTCTGGAAAAATCCTAAGTTACATAATTCTCTGTCCACCAAACCTCAGCACAACTATGAGTCAGTTCATCAAATCCAGCACATTTTGGGGTGGGGTAGAGTGATATGTATCTTAGGCTGGTGTTGCTCATAACACAGTAGAGAATGATCATGAGCTTTTCATCCTCCTACCTCAACCTCCTAAGTGCTAGGAATACAGGTGTGAGTTATTACATCAAGCTCATCTATTTCCTACTTATTTCTTCTGTGATTTTATAATCAAAGTAACTATAGGTAAAAGATGAAGGAAGGAAGGAAGGAAGGAGCAGCTAGGTGTGGTGGCTCACACCTTTAATTCCAGAGGCAGGCTGATCTTTGAGTTCTAGGCCAGCCTGGTCGACAGAGTGAGTTTCAGAATAGCCAGGCTACAAAGGAAAACCCTGCCTCACCTCACCCCCCACCCCCAGACAGCTGATATAATGGCAAAGAGGTTAAATCTTTTTATGTAAAAAAGGACAAAATTTTGTGAGCAACATGACAGGATGTGACTTATTTATCAAGGGGAAAGAGAATATCTGTATCATAAAGAAGACAGACCTAAATAGAGAAAGTTGATTAAAATAAATATGGATTATGGCATATGAAAATATTAAGTCTGAAAAAAATCCATAAACTGTGTAGAAATTTTAGCAAAGTTTGTTTTGTGTTACTGGATTCAAGTTCTAGGTTACTGTTCCTAGCACCAAGGCTGGTTTATCAATGACTTCATAAGCTCTCTGCTAACTTCAAGTCACCCGCCTCTGCTACCCTCTCTGCTAATTTTTATGTTGTACTCTGACTCTGAAATGAGCAGGCAAATTTCAGTATTTAGGGATTCATGATCGTATTGCAAGCACACATGGTTCCATCTAGCACCTCCTGCTGTATTATGTACTTCTGTGGCGCTGGCTATCAAACTCAGGGCTTTGGTTATCCTTGGGTATGTGCTCTATTGCCAAGCTACGGTACTTGGTTCTCAACTTTTACATTTGCCTTTCCAAAATAAAATTGTAAACAACAACAAAAACCCACACAATGTTAAGACTCCACAGTTGACTCAGACACTTTCACACTGCTAAGGGAAGTGTTAGGCATGCCACCACTGAAACGCTGCTCTGGAAGACACAGGTGTTAAGTCAGGAGATGCTTAGCCACCCTGGGGTTAAATCTGATGGGTAAGAAGGTTACCAAAATAAGCACATCTGAGGCTGTATTCAAGGGTATTGATTGGGTTCATTGTCTTTAAGTTAAAGAATTAAAAGGCAGGAAAAATCTCAAGCACAACAGGGAGCAGAGAGAAATTTCAAACACTGCTAACAGGAGCAGACAGAATCAGCAACTGAAGAAAGGTGTTTATTGGGCGTGAGGGAACAGTATGCAGCAGAGGGGCCTGGGAAGCCGAAATCACAGTTCTAGAGGGTCTGCGTGCGTGCGTGTGTGTGTGTGTGTGTGTGTGTGTGTGTGTGTGTGTGTGAAGCGTTTTCCTCTCCCCGTCCTAATCTATCGTGGTTGGTTGATTGGCCCACGACTGCTGTGTAGCATATCCTGCTCTGGCCCTGGAACTAATGCATAGAGCCAGAAGCAGGGGGCCTGCTGTCAGGAGAAGAGAAAACCTGTAAGGTCTTGTAAGGTCTTTGTTTTAAGGGACCAGGCTTCGTTAGGTTCGGTTAGGTTAGATCCACCTTTCTTACCAAGTCATGGCTCCTCTCCTTATCTGTCAGCTGCCCAGGCAGGCTGTCTACTTCCTATTTAGGAAGAGTGGTTAAACTGGCACTCTATTTATCATATGAAGTCCTTGTACTACTTTGCTTAAATCTCATATATCTTCCAGGTAACAAACCTTGACTTGGAATCTACAGCCACTCACCTGAGTCTCACACACAGGTATTTAGTATGTCCCTGCACTTGCTATGCTTCCATTATTTCAATACATTTTACTGCATGCTCCCTGTATTCTTATCTCAAGAGCATTGTCTCTACAGGGGAAAGTGCTGCCCTGAATTAGCTGAATAAGAGACCCTCAGAGACCAGATCTTTCCCACCTGCTCCTGTCCTTTTTTCAACCCAAGACAGGCCACCGAAACTGAAAGCTGTTGTTGGTCATGGTGCTGCATGCATAATTCAAGTATGGATGAGCCAGGAGGATACCATGAGTTCCCGTATAACCCAGGTCACAAAACAAACTGTAGGCCATCTTGGGCTAAATAAGACCCCGTCTCAAACAAAACAAAACAATTCAAAGAGTTTTCCTTGCTTGACTTTTGTTCGGTCAACATAAAGTTCATGTAATCACTTCCATAATGGAAAGTATTATTTGTGGCAACCAGAATCCATGTCACTCATTCTGCTCAGAATAAACTTATCTCCTAATTCCCTTTGCTGTGAAACTGTGTTTTGTGAGAACGTTCAAAACCCAAGGCTGGATAATTTTCCTTGTCTACCTCTATCTTCAAAGGGAGGTTTTCTCCACCAACAGACCCACCATGAGCACAAAGCAGTCTCACAGCTTGTTCTGTTCTTATTCCTGAGGAAAACCTTCCTTCATTTTGAGAATTTCAAAGACTTTTACAGCTAACAACAATGGGAAAAACACAGGGGGTAAAATGCCATACCAGAGAAAAGTCACAAAGTTCCAAATCAGATCAAACAGGGGAAAAAGCCATTTCTGGTTTTTATTAGCATGTAAATGGTAGGAGATTTTAGGCCTCTACCATCCATATTTTCCACAGCTGTCTCCCACCTCCTGTCTCTAAGAGGTAGCTTCCTCCTCCCCAGAGTTCACAGAGCACAAGGGAAGACAAAAGCCACCTGGGTGAGAAAGGCTCCCCTCTGCAGCCACAAAGGACACAAGTGAGGTTCATCTACATTTCAGAGACCTCGGATTCCTTCCCCTTTTACAAAGGTTAGCTTTGAAGCCTTCCTCTGGGATGCATGCAGGGCTAGAGGTTTAGGATGTGGCATTAAAGCCCAAAGACAATCAGCATCTTTGTATTTTCTTTACTTTGTATTAAGTATTTGGGATCAGAGAAGAGTTAGAAGAGAGAAAGATGCCGAACACTTTTCTTCCAAACTGTCCAAGTTTAGAGAAGCAGACTTCCACAAGAAGCAAGGTGTGGTGAGAAAGGGCTACATGAAGAGACCAAGTCTGGAACACTTCAAACATTAGCAACTGGCCCAAGGAAGGAAACTTCTTTTAGTCTGAGTGAGAGCTCTCCTGACAAAATGTTTTTATATTATATTCAATATAATACCTAGTTTGATTAAAAATAGGTGATTTCTCATAGACATTCTCAGATATAGGCTAATGAAAGATTTAGCATACAGAAGATTTACCATATAGAGACAATATGTACCCTGTGTACAGTTAAGGACTAGACCGATGCTGTTCAATAGAGATGTGTGGGGCCGGGTGGGAGGCAGAGGCAGGTGGATCTCTGAATTCTAGGCCACCCTGAACTACAAGAGCTAGATCCAGGAAAGGCTCCAAAGCTACAGAAAAACCCTGCCTCGAAAAACTAAATAAAAATAAATAAATAAAAATAGAGACGTGTGTATATGTATTTCATTTTGTAAAATTTTAGTTAGTCATACCAAAGAAATGGGTGAGAAGCAAGAAAAATTAGTTTGAATCATATACTTAGCATACTTAGCCCAAAATTACTTCAATATTATTTTAACACACAATAAAAACTATTAACAATTATATTTTAAATTAATAGCACAGCTTTTAACCAGGATACTGAGTGGTGTTCCCTCCCTCATGGTCAGTGTGGTTCTAGATGAATTTTCAGGTCCTATCAGGGTGTCAGAGAAAGCACTGCACTTACACCATGACTAGTCTCAGGCTCCTCTTTATCTT